GATCTTACACCATCTTCCAAGGTCTCCTGATGGTCATCTTGCCAGCTGGGATCTCAGCTGGAAACCCCTGATCCCTTTCTTTCCAAGTTCAAAGGTGGAAGCTTGGTGGCTTGAGGGCATCTCAGGGCTCCCCCAGGATTTGGAGAAGGGACTGGAAATGTGGTGGTGACATGATACCTTTTCACAGAGCAGGGTCTGCCTGGGGATCTCCTGCATCAAACGGGGCTGCAAAACCCACCCAATCAAGATACGTCTTTTTTTGGGGGGGGGCTGCTTCGGCACATGGTTTGCTGCAAAGGTGGCAACCTTCAGCGCCGAGCTGAGACCTCGTAGCTCATCTCATGGGTGATGAGCCACAGCCAGGCAGCTCTCAGCTCACTGGGAAGATCTGAAGAGTTGCTATTCTTGTATAAATTAGGAGGTTTTGGGGTACAGGGAGCTGTTTGGCACGTTTTCCCGTGCCCTTGGGAGGGCAGGCACGAGGGCTCAAACCCTTCTCCTCCCCTGGAGCGTGGGAAGGATGCTCTGCGGGCACACATGTGCTTGCAGACGTGTGCCCGTGCGCGTATACACGCGTGCATTCGCAGTGTGACAGTCCAACCGCTCCCCAAAACACACACCAAGATGCTGGTCTTCGGCCAGTGCTGAAAATTGCAGGTGTCTGGGGAGAAATTAAAAAAAAGAAAAGGATATTTTAAACTTTCAGGCTTTCCTGAGCGTTTATTTGCCAAGGAGTCTGCAAATATTGGTATTAAACCCGTGCAAGTCTTAAAATAAACTGCTCACAAAGCTGGGTGATTGGTGTGTTATTTCAAACATCCACTGGTTTGGTTTCTTCCAAAAAAATTGCTGCCTTGGTCAATCCATTTTTGGGAATTTCTGCAGTAATTTAATTAGTCTGTGGGATCTGAGAGTCTCTTCCCTTTGTTTGAACACACCACCGGTCTCTTCAATGGCTTTGAGGCACCATTTGTCACCTTCCCTCGCTCATCATTGATGGTGTGATGGACACTTAGCCAAGCCACCATGGGCTGTACAGTGGGGGAAAGCACACAGGTCTCTTTGATGGCTTTGAGGCACCATCTGTCACCTTCCCTCACTCATCATTGATGGTGTGACAGACACTTAGCGAAGCCACCATGGGCTGTACAGTGGGGGAAAGCAGGTGTGGATTCTCTAGTGTCTAATATAAAGGTTGAGCTGCTGGGTAAGGGCTCCTTTGGCTCTTTCTTCTTTCCATGGCAAGCTGTTGTCTAGGAAACTCAAAGAACCTCAGCAGAGCAGAGACTTTGTTGAACCGGCCAACGTGACGAGACATGACTCGGAGGGGCAGACAGACAGACCTGTTCCTTAGAAAACCAAGCCCCAAGGAGAAAAACCAGAAGAAAAACAAAGCCAGGACTCACTGGTCGAAAAAGAAGTGGACGTGCCAAGTGGCTTACAGTAACAACGTGGCGTGCTGCCTGCCTCTGCTGGGTTAAGGATCTGCTTCCTAGAAAGGCATGACGAGGAAGGAAAAGCCCTGTAGTTGGGTGCTGGGAAGGTCCAGCAGCAGCGTGCATCCCTCCAGCCCACGTGGCAGATCTGTTTGCTTGGCAGGAAACCCTCAGCGCTCTTAACTTTCTCTTCCTGCTCCCAGCGCTGAGAGATACTTAGAAAAAGTGGGTTTGGGTGGTTTTTTTTGTTTCTCCGAAGAAAGTGCGTGGTCTCTGTGTCCCAAGTCAATGGTTGTTACTCTTGCTTAATTCTCATTCTTGGGTTTGAGTGACTCACATGAGCCACAGAGAAGTCATTGCAGGAGAAGCTTGGGCGTGATGCTGTAAAACCCGTGACCTAAAGCTATCCACGTGCGAGCCCTACGTCCACATGGCATTCACCCCAGGGTGGGACTCCAAAACCTGGGCTGAAATCAAGAAGGATTTTTCAGAGAGTGTCAAGAGACATTCATTGGAGGTCGAGATGGGCACACGATAAGGAGCTGCGTAACCCCACTGGGGATGGGTTAGAGGGAGATCTGAAGACCTGCTCTGTGGCTTTTGAGCTCTAGAGGTTCACTTTGACCAGCTATAAGGAGCCATCCTGGGGTATAATAGGATGCTCCAACCTGTCTCCGCAGCAAATTTTCACCTGAGACAGTTGAGTTGCTCCTTTGGGTCTTCCTGTCTCTGAGAAGCAAGGATGTGGGACAAGTATTGGTGTTACTGGGCTTTCTGGAAAAGAAGAGACATCAGCAAGATACAGTGAAACCCTCCTCAATAAGCTGCTGGGTTTGGGGGTGCTCCAGCAACACTCTCCGTCTCAGCTCCATCTCACCTTGCCCAAGGATGAGAAGACCTGTCTCTCGGGGCACCCAGCTATCCCATGGGCTCCTATAAGAGTTTAGACACTGGAGGTATCTCCTGCGGAGCCCATGTGTGGACAGCTGTACCTGGAGCTTGAAACATGCCTGTGACATCCAACAACCCAGTTTAAATGGCCAGTATCTCCTCTTCTTCGCACACATGGGAGGAGACGGCAGAAGAGCGCTCGTAGTAGAAATAAATTTATTTACTATAAGAAATCCGAGGTGTCTGCATGTTACAAAAATAAAAATATACAGTCGTCACGAAACTCACTATTTTTTTAGTATAAGTTAGTGCTTTTACAAACAAACAAACAAATTATATATATAAATTTCCAGTTGGTACCTCACCAACTGCCCTCCATCTCACAGTGCAGCTAGCTTGTGCAGGAGCAGGATCACAGGGGGACCCCCTTGATGGGACTGGTAGTGTTGCCCAAGGAGGTGGTCAGGAGCCGGCTGATGCCAGCTCAGAGAAAGGTGGGATCACCAAGCAGGACTGCAGGAGCGAACTTTGAGCATGTTTTTGTTGAATTATTCAGAGCACGTAACTTGGTGTTCACGCCGCTTTTTGGCAAGTGCGGGAGACCAGGCCAGACCTGGCCTGGAGGAACGTTTGTACCAGTTCAGCGCTTCGGTTGAATTAATTTCTCGCAATTATTTGTCTCACCTCAGTGACTACGCCGTGACCCTCCCCATAAAGTCAACCTCCCTTTGCAAGCACAAGGGAAACAAAGGTGCTGCCATGCTGCAAGTCCTACCTTAACCCCATCCTGTCCTAAAAGTTCACTCAAGGATGAGATGAACCACCCTACAAACGTCCTATTTTTCTTTGCTGATGGTGCTCAGAGCTGAGACAGTCCCCTCCTTTGCCTCCTGTGGCTGTGACATCGTTGGTTGGGACAAGAACCCTCCATGGTTCCACTGAACTGGGACCACAAGAACCTCCCAGTTGACTCTCAACAGTCCCAGTTGACCCTCAACGGTCCCCGTTGCCCTTGGCTGAACTTGGCCGGTTATGTCACGGCGTGTCTTTATCTCCACCAAGCCACTTCAAAAGAAGGAGGGATGGGAGAAACTAAGAAGAGGCCTGAGGAACTAGTCTAAACCAGGATCAAACGTGTTTGCCTAATCCTAAAATAAAGCCAAGGCTGCTTTTACAAAACATGACGCGTCCAGTGCTGCAACACAAGCAATTTTCATTTCTGGGGTGAGGAATCAGCATCCTCGTGGCAAGGCTGGGCAAGGAAACCATGGACCTGGGCTCTTGGCTCCCTAACCCAACAATTACAGAGAGAAAGAGCAAGCGGACCTTCTGGTGAAGTGTTTTGTGGGTATTTTCTCCAGTTTACTTTGAACTGTCCTGGCTGATGGGGGGAGGCAAGGCCAAATCCAGACAGGACTGGGGTTAAGCTTAGCATCACATTTACTGGTATGGCTCCTAAACCCAGAGCTGAGCACTGCCAAACTTCCCTGGGAAGGTCCACACTGTCAGTAAGGGATATGCTGACTGGCTTCACTGGAGCACTGGGATTATGAGGAGACCTGAGAGCAACATCTGGGCGGCATTTTGGGTCACAGCAAGCTGCTAAAGGTCTCACAGGGCTGTCACCTCTGAGCAGCAATAAGGATGTGACAGCACTCAGCCAAGGTCTTCACTTCTTTGCTGGACATGCAAGTCACTAGTAAGGGGGTTACAAACAAGACACGAAGAGCTCACCCTAGATTTTATTAAGCTGGAGATGATTATTGAAATCAGCAGCTGAAAGAAAGCTACAGGTTCCCAAAAGCTTTTCAAGGGTGAATGTTGCTGTTGGGAAGCACTAACAGGTCTTTTGGAAGATGTTGATCCCACTGGAGAGACCTACAGGGGATCTGCTTGATGGTACCAGTAAATTTCAGTGGGATGGTATCAGTAAACTCCAGTGGGATGGTACCAGTATACTCCAATGAGATAGAAGGTTCATCAGCACCCTTTTTAACGGGAAGCCAGCCCTTGGATAGGAGCTAGGAGTCCCCCCCCCCCAGTTCTGCCAGCAGATGCCGGGGCTTGAAGCTGGGAGAGCATTTCTTCAGGGATGCCAAGCTGTGGGATACCCTTTCCCGCTGCGGGTGGCATTTGCGCTTGACATTTTCATTGGCCTGTTTAGCAGAAGTGCAGCTGACTCTCCTCATCAACCAAAAGCCTTTCCTTGCTTGCCAAGGCACAGAGAAACTCTTCCTCCCCCCGTGCCAGGGAATCTGGAGAAAGTCAGATGGATTTCTTTAGGGGGACCTTTCGCACGCAACGTTCTGCTTTAGAAAATGATCTAAGACATTCAGGGCGTGATTTTTTTTTTTTTTTTTTAGCAGATTTGGCCACCACGATAAAGGTCACCCAGCCTCATGGTGGAGAGATGCCATTCAGCGTCAGAGAGGGAGGCAGGCTTGGACGAAGAGGCAGAGATATGGGGCTCACGTGTATAACCACAGTGGCACCTGCCTGAAAAAATACACTCGAAAGCAGATGAGTGCGTTTAACACGGATCGTGCTGCAGTGGGTGCAAGCCAAGACACCACAAACACCAAAAGCCTCGAGTCCTGATGCATCCTGACCTCCCTTCACACCTGGGACAAACCCTTCCGTCGCGCAGACAGCGCCGGCAGCGCCGGAGCAGAGCTAGAATTTCACATCCTTGGATACCGCGTCTGTGTCGTTGCTGGTTCCCAGGTGGCTGTCGGGCACGATGCCCAGTGCCATTTCATTTTGAGTCTTCCCGGGTATTTTGTTGCCCGTAAACTTCATAAATCGTTGTCCGGCTAAGAAATACAAAATGGGATCCAAGCAGCTGTTGGTGCTCGCCAGGGGACGAGTCAACTTATAGGCTAAATTGATTGCATTGAGGGTTTCACAGCTCAAGTCCCAACTCCGGAAGGAGTAGTACAAGGTACGAGTGACGTGGAAAGGAAGAAAACAAACGATGAAGACCACCAAGACGATGATTATCATCTTGACCGACTTCTTTTTGGATCGGGACAGCCGGGAGATTCCCCGTGTGGGCTGTAGCAGCCTCCGGGCCATCAGGCAGTAGCAGATGATGATGATGAGGAAAGGGATGCAGAAGAGCAGCACCAGCATCACTGAACTGTAAATGACAAACTGGCCAAAGAGGTCCTTGCTGGACGTGTCATGGCAAGTGATGGTGTCACGCTTCACGCTGGTGGTGACGAAGAAGAGCACGGGCGACTGGCACACGACGGTCACCACCCACACGATGACCGACACCCTCCGAGCGTAGCGAACGTGTCCCCACTGCAGCGACTTCAGTGGGAAATAGATGCCCAGGAATCGATGGATGCTGATGCAGAGGAGGAAAAGGATGCTGCAGTAGAGGTTGGTGTAAAACAAGAAGCGGACTATCTTACACAAGCCCACACTGAAGGGCCAGTTGTCCCCCATGGCATAATAATACACCAGGAGGGGCAGGGAGACCACGTAGAGCGTGTCGGACACGGCCAGGTTGAACATGTACGTGGTGGAGGCGTTCCAGGTCTTGATCCTGAAGATGAAGCCGTAGAGGGCCAGCAGGTTGAGAAAGAGCCCCACCACGCACACGATGCCGTAGGAGACAGGCAGCAGGACATACTTGAAGTCCTCATCAAATATGCACCTGTAGCTGTTGTCTCCTGGGTCTAAGGAGCTGTTGATGACTCTAGTCCAGGCTGGAGGAGTTGTTAGGTTTGCCATCACCCTGGGAAGAGAAAGCAAAGAGGCTGTAAGGACATGAAGGTAAGGAGTCCCTGGAAGAGGTGGGTTAGATGAGCATGTCCCAGTGCCACAATGCTGTGACACGTTGTGTGGTCCATGCTTTCATATTACTATATACTATTACTACACTCTTCTCTTCTCCTTCTGTCAAAGTTGCCATCAACGCTTGGCTGTGTCTATCCAAAAGCTACCCACAAGCACAGCTCACTATCTGGCAGGCAGTGCCACCTCAGTGCCGGTGACAAAGACTCGAGAGGGGGCAGGACACGCCTCCTGCCCGCACATTGCATACCTGTGAAAACCATGGCCTGGTTGTGTTGGGTGTTGACACAACCAAGGTAGTCCCTAGCATGGAGGACTTACGGTCAAGCAGATAAAGGGAGTTTTATTTCTCTTCATTTTGCATCTGGAGCACAGAGGAGGAACTAAGTGGCTCTAAAATCACCCAATAAATTCCAAGCCACACCTGGGAATCCAACTCAGATCTCCTGCAGCCCAGTTCAATGTCCCAATCTGCCCTTCCCACCAGGTTCATAGAATCATAGAATGGTTTGGGTTGGAAGGGACCTCGAAAATCATCCAGTTCCAACCCCCCTGCCACGGGCAGGGACACCTTCCACTACACCAGGTTGCTCAAGCCTCATCCAACCTGGCCTGGAACAATTCCAGGGATGGGGCAGCCACAACTTTCATTTCATGCAGAAATTTAGTTTCCTACACTACAGAACAGGAAAGATGCTCCATTCTGTGCTTAACCATCTGTGAGAAGTGACTTAGCTGAGCATCATGAAAGGTGGGTCCTACTAAACCCCAGGCAGAAAGGGCAAGAAAAGGGAACCACGCTCTTCAGCGAGCTATCCCCACGATTGCCAGGCCCTGATTTCAGAGGTCATCAGCTCCTTTTGGTAGAGCAAACATCACCACAACATCTGGAGGCCCCTGCAATCAAACCTTGCCAAAGGAAGCATGTTCTCCACCACAGGGGCTCTGCCTGGGTTGGATGTTGATGACAATGATGGATTTTTAATGGGTGTAGTGTTGGGCTGATGGTGGCCATCTCGCTGGTCCTGCTTCCTGGCCTTGAGACCCGCTCCTCCAGCACCACCACCATCAGTCTGCCCAGGCTTGTGCAAAGCTGGTTTATGTGTGGGACTGACCAGATGAGACGAGAAAAACGGACTCGAAAGAGTCTCTGCAGACACACGGACTCTGGCACTGTCTGCGTCGGGAGGGACAAGGGCCCTTTTGTGTGTCGGGGACAGCCCACGACCCAGCTGACACATGATCGCTCCGCAATCCCATCAGCCAGGAATCAAATTAAAAGGCGTTTGCCTCCCTTCCCGTAAAACGAGCCGGTTTGATCTCACTGCTGCGCCCCGTGATGGGGAGTCCACGGAAACGGGGTTACAGGGAGATGAATCCCACACAGGAGCTCAGAGACCGGGAGCTACTGCGAGAGAAAATGAGTACGTGGGATGTGCCCTGACCCAAATCTCACCATGATTTTAGGTGGAAAAGAGCAATACCAGCCTTCTCAGCTAAACGGTTCATCTCTAATCTGATGCCACCACGCTGCCACCATGCCCTTTCTTGCAAACAAGAACCAGAGCTTGTTCTTGAACCAGAGCTGTCCTACACCTACCTCCAATTCAGATCCTGCAGGGAAGGAGGCAATGAGGGTCTCCTAGAAGCTGCCAACCTGGAAGACCTCTCACCAAAGCGAAGCATTATAGCATTAAAAAGCACCTTGAAAACTCATAGGTGATGAAAAAAGGGGGAAGTGATGCCTCCAGCCCATCACATGAGCATAACTTCAGTCCTCCCTCCAGGGTCTGGATCAAACAACCTGTCCAGATGTGGCATCGACACGATCCCTGATGATATTTCACCTATTTTGCTGCTTTTCCCCTCGGAGAAGGCCACAAACAGCAGTGGCTGAGGCTCACGCTTCCCAAGAACGTGGGCAGAAACCACATGCACGCTCACGCCCCGACTAAACTGCAACATCTGCAAAAACCCAAATATAACTTCAGGAACTACTCTGTGATGAACATGAAGAGCCAGGACCGATCCTGCTCTGTCCTGGCCCCAGGGTTTTGCTCTTCCTGTGCCTGGTTCCGCTTTGGTCCTACCACCCTTCGCCCTGCTTCCCTCAAGTCCTTGGCGATAGGGTTGTCCTTGTGGATGGAGAGAGCTCAGGCAGATGGGAAAACACCTTCCAGCTGCTCTTCTCCCCAGCTCCTTCCTTCCCCCTGAGATTTGCAAATCTGTGGCCAACGAAACAGAAGTTGCTCGCAGACCTGGCAGCTGATTAAATGGGTCAGACAGGCCACCGTGACCGAGAGAAGCCGCACAAGATGCCCTAAAAGGTGCACGGAAGGGTTACACAGCTCCAGAGACTTCAGCCTTGCATGTGGTTTCTCCATGCCTGGACATCTGCATCTCCTCTGTCCCCTGCAGGCCACAAGTCACCCAGCTCTGAAGCACCAGTGGGGGCAAGATCACCCCAAATTCCAGCCCACCTCCCCACAGGCTCCTGCGACCCCAGCTAGAAAACCCAACAGGGTGTCTGAAACCCATCCGTAAGCCAAGGTGGGGTATCTCCTCCAGAGGCAGCAGGGGCTCCCCCAGGCCACACTGCAGCCACGGACGTGCCAAGATGCACATCTCCATCTTCAGGCCAAAGAGCAAACAGGGCTCTCTGGTTGGCTTGAACGGGGTAATCACAGAGACAAAACCCCGCTCACAAGGCAGCCTTGTCCTCGCCGTCCTCCTCTCCCTCCTTTTCCTTCTGGAAATGCCAAAGCCTTTCTTTTTTTTTCTTTTTTTTCCTCTTACTTTTGCCCAGAATCCCTCGGACAAAACCTGCTGTGTCTGTCGGGGCCGTGGCTCCAGCCCACCCCCTCGCCCCCGGCCCCGTTGCACCCGCAGTGAGTGAGCAGGAGAGGACACGGCCCGCCAAGACGTGCGGAGGCACAAAAGCCGGCAGCTGCCCTTTCCTCTGCCGACGGGCCGGATGGCACGAACGCCAACTCCTCCAGTGACGCATCGAGCCCCCGGCGGGGACGAGGTGGGGGAGAAAGCAACAGCGATCTCTGAGGATGCCAAGCAGGATAAACACTTCTACGACTACCAAAAGCAAACCCACCGTGATGCTTCGGTGAGGACCACCTGCATCTGCTGCATCGGCTCTCCTGGCCCTTCCCAGGCTCATGGCAGGGGGGTTTTTTTCCGGGCGTTGAAAAAAAAAACAGCTTTTTAGGTGCCCTCCAGCCATCGGTGCACAGCAAAGGCATCGCCCCAACCAGCTTCCTCCGTGCTGGACCACGCGTTGGGTCTGGATGAACCTGGTTGCAACGGCTAGACCATCTCTCTCTTTGCAACGTGGCCTTGGACCTGTTTATCCCATGGGACATGTTTTCTTTTTCCCCAGAAAACAAGTACAATCAGCTGTAGTGGATAAGACAGCATGGGAGAGGAGCCCAAGGAGATCAGCGTTGCAACCCCGGCAGCCACGTGCCCTCAAATATATACACCCACAGGCATGTGCATCGGATGCCAGCATCCCAAAACGCTCCCGTAACAGGATCCACCACGGCCGGGCAGGGGATATTTAGATGAGTCAATACGGGGAAGGAGGGGGCCGTCATCGGAGAAGGTCACGGGCAGCCGGGGGAACGGGCAGAACCCAGGGCCAGCTCAGGGCGACCACGGGTTGGACACTGAATCACCGAGTAAAGGGTTTTAATCTGTTTCTGCCCCATTTTCCAGTGTTCCCAGTGCCATCCCAGCGGTCACCGTCCATCCCGCGGTGTTCAGCGCTTGGGAACCTGCCAGCAGAAGCAGAGCCACGAAAGCAAACAGAGCTTGTTTGCTGCGATGAACGCGTTTTCATGGCGGGGGGGGTTGATGAGGTCTAATTGACCTTCCGAAATAATTAATGTGGATTAATTTCCCGGCAGGACCTCCCAGACGCAGCCCTTCGTTCTGCCGGTGCAGAGCCCTGGGAAACCAAACCGGCGCCGTGCGGACGCACCGACGGCGACCGCGGCTCCCGTCGTTTGATGCCGGAGGTTGAAACCACCATCCAGTTACCACGTCTTCCCCACCGACTCCTTTGCAACGGACACGAGGAGAGCGTGGGTGTCTTCCCTGCCCTAATTCATAGGCGTTTAGTAGACTCATCAAAAACCTCCCTCCAGGTCAGGAACTACTCGAGACGCTGGGAAGCAAACGACCCGGCATCGTTTTTCGCTCCTTTGGGACCGCGGTTGAAACCTTCCGCAACCCAAAGCAAACAGACGGCGCGTTCGGATGCTCCCGAGCCTGTCTGGTTGGGAGATGTGAGATGGGACCAGGCTGAAATGTGAGCCTGGTCAAACCGCCCGGTTTTCATCCGCCCTTTCTATTTGTCTCCTTTCTGCCGTCGTGACCTTCAGTGTTGTTCTCCTGCAGGATGGCTCCGGCCACCAGCGTGGGCTGAGGACATCCCCAGCCATCCCAGTCTCACCATCTGTGTCATTCCCTGGCACTTCTCTCCAGCGATCCCGAGGCAAGATACTTCCAAGATACCTTTCCAAGACACCCAAAAGTGAGCTTTGAGCAGCTTAAGGGGCTTTACTCACCTCCCTGCCCAGAGTCCAACGCAATGTCCCTCTTTTATCCCTCATGGGTCTGACCTACTCCTTCCCTCATCCCAAAAATAGCCAGAAACCCTTATTCCTCCCCCAAAATCAGCTTGCAAAGAATCTGCGTTTCTCTTCTTTTCCCCCAAAAAGCACCTTGGAAGGCACCGGGCAGCTCCACTCCAGCTGAAATGGAGTTGCTCCACTGAAGTGGCTCCGTGCCTCAGTTTCCCCTCCCGCCCCCAGGCTGAGAAGCAGCAGATTTGAAATCGCTTTCTCCACGAAAAGTATTTTTCTGGGGGAGTTTCGGTTTCCTAGAGGGTTTTTCCGTAACTTGATCCAAGCTAAAAAGGG